TGATTTGGAAATCTGATACCCTATATATATATATATATATATGATTTGGAAAATATTTGAACACCTTGTCTTAAAATATTTTATTCATCATGTTAAAATAAAACGTTCCATAATCATTTTTTCTTTTCTTTTTTCAATTTTTCCAATTTTTCGGAAAAAAACAAAAAAGGCTTCAGGTAAAAAACGGAAAAAACCCGTTTTTTTCCCGAATTTTTCCGGGGTTTTTCCGGGCCTTCACATCTCTAGTTGGGGACCACATGCAGAGGAGCTGGTCGGCAGCAGCAGTGTTTCAGGGAGGATTTGGGGATGATAACTTCTCACTGCCCCACCTCCCACTGAGATCTTTCTCACCTGAGTTGCTTCTCGCAGGCGGTAACAGACGTCCTCAGCCAACAGAGCAGCCACTTCATCTGTCAACTCCACACCAGTGCTCTCCGCCATCAGTCGAACCGATTCCCGTGGGATCTCCACAAAGCGACGTTCCTCCCGCTCCGACATGGTGGCAGCAATGGCGTGGAAGACTGACAGCCGTCACAACTGCACAAACCCTTTCAGCCTTATCCTGTAGGTGCATTAGGAACATTAGAATCTTAGAGGATCGTATATAAGGTCCAAAAACGCCAACATCTGTTCTTGATTGTGGCCAGCCAAACATCTGTGGTTGGTCTACAAACAAAACATGAGGGCAATAACTCTCTTTCAGCACCAGAGATTCACAGATACACTTCCTCTGAACACAGAGGTTCCATTTAGACATCACGGTTAAAAGTCATGGCTAGACCTCTCTTCCTGTAAGAATTTGTCTAACCCCTTTTAAGAATCTGCCTTATACTGAATCAGACCATCAGTCCATCAAGGTCAGTATTGTCTACTCAGACTGGCAGCGGTTCTCCAGGATCTCAGGCAGAGTTCTTTCACATCACCTATCACCTGAGCCTTTTAACTGGAGGTGCTGAAGCCTGAACCTGAGATCTTCTGCATGCCACGAAGATGCTCTCTCACAGAGCCATAGCCCCTTCCTCCTTTTAATGCCAACAAAACTAGTAGCTATCAATACACCTTATTTATTACTATTATTTATTTTAAACATTTCTATGGCACTTTTCTGCACAATTCAGGGTCCCTAAGACAGTGAACATTAAACTATTTCAAACATTACAACATCAAAACCAGCATTTAAATACACACATGCACACACATAAAAAGAGAGAGAGATAGCGTTAGTGAGGAAACACAAAAGAAAACAAAAAAGGTGTTCGCCCACTGGCAGAAGACATAAAAGGAAACAGATGAATTTCTGTGGGGAGGCAGTTCCAAAGTCCTGGATCCCTAAGACAGTGAACATTAAACTATTTTAAACATTACAATATTAAAACCAGCATTCAAATACACATACACACACACACACATATACATATATACACACACACACACACATAAAAAGAGAGAGAACGCATTAGTGAGGAAACACAAAAGAAAACAAAAAAGGTGTTCACCCACTGGCAGAAGACAGCCACAGGATACAGATGAATCTCTGTGGGGAGGCAGTTCCAAAGTCCTGGTGCCATAACTAGGAAAGCGCTTTCTCTGGTTGCTACTTGTCTAGCCTCAGATGGTGGATGCATTAACAGAAGCATTGTGTCCATATCACGGGAGGTGGTAGTTCCACTCTATTCTGCTATGGTCAGCCCTCACCTGGAGTACTGTGTCCAGTTTTGGGCACCACATTTTAGGAAGGATGTTGACAAGCTCGAGCGTGTCCAGAAGAGGGCAACCAGGATGGTGAGAGGGTTGGAATCCAAGTCTTATGAGGAAAGGCTGAAAGAGTTGGGTATGTTTAGCCTGGGAAAGAGAAGGCTTAGAGGGGACATGATTGCAGTCTTCCAATATTTGAAGGGTTGTAATGTAGAAGGTGGAGCAGATCTATTCTCTCTTGCTCCGGATTGCAAGACTAGATCTAATGGGTGGAAATTACAAGGGAGTCGATACCGGCTAAATATCAGGAGAAGCTTCCTAACTGTAAGAGTGGTTGAGCAGTGGAACAGACTACCTAAGTAGATAAATGAGTCCCTGCCATTAGATGGCAGGGGGCACCCTCCTCCGTGTCAGGTGTGTGGTGGAGCACTGGTGGCAGCGGTGGCAGAGCATCGATGGCGGCGGCGGCGGAGTGAATGAGGTGGCGGCGAACATCAGCAAGGCAAGCCCTGGTGGCCAGTGGGCGCAACATCGAGCGGAGATAGAAGGCGTGGTAGCGTGAAGGCGCAGGCGCGGCAGAGCCGGAAATGGACACGAGCCGGAGCCGAAACTGACACGAACCGCGCACTAGAATGGGCCCGCCGATGGAAGCCACCACATGGAAAAGACCTACCCCTGGACACCAGGATGGAAGCACCGATCCGGAAGACCGCCTGGAAGAAGGAGCCGAGCTGGAGAACGGCAAGCCCTACCACCTGGGTGCCGGTAGGTAGCCCCGACCCTGTACCATGTGGCCTTAGTTAGGGTATCAGTATTAGAAACTTCTATCTAAACCGCCCAGAGACCCTTCGGGGTCAGGGAGGTATATAAGCCGAATGAAATAAATAAATAAAAATAAATCTGTTCTCTCTTGCTCTGGATTGCAAGACTAGATCTAATGGGTGGAAATTACAAGTGAGTCATTACCGGCTAAATATCAGGAGAAACTTTCTAACTGTAAGAGTGGTTGAGCAGTGGAACAGACTGCCTCGGGAGGTGGTGGATGCTCCTTCGCTGGACGTTTTTAAGTGAAGGCTGGACGACCACATTTCGGGTATGTTGTAGGGTTATCTTTAGGCTACGCTCCTGCAGAGTGCAGGGGGTTGGACTAGATGACCTGCAAGGTCCCTTCCAACTCTAACATTCTATGATTCTATACCCAAAGCAGGACCTCAGAAGATGACCAGCACGGTTGGGTAGGTCCATATGCAAGCAGACGCTGCATATACACTGGCCCCATTCCATATAGGCCTTTACTGGTCCTTAAATACGCTGGCCCCATTCCATATAGGCCTTTACAGGTCAAAACTGGCACTGCCCCATCCCCCTTTAGGCTGCCCAATGAGATCTCATGAAATACATGAAATAAAATAAATAGTAGTATAGGTGATGAAGGAAAATATCTCCCCATCTTCTTTCTTCATACCACTCACATTCAGAAGTATTATATCCCTCCAATCATCTTTTTCAAATCCTCATACCAAACAAGTTTTTCACATAGGAAAGATGCTCCAATCTCTTAATCAGTTTCTTTGGGTTTACTTCACAGTAAGGCCAATTCATTTCTATGGCCATTTCACCTGAATAAACAAACAAATTTCCTCTTTGGTATGGAGCCTGCATTCCTCTTAGGATAATCAAGGCCACATCCGCAACAGCATTCTGTGTAGGACCGCTGTTCCCCATCCATCCGACCACCTTTCTCAGTATCTTCCTTTAGACTTAGTTTTAGCCAATTCCCTCTGCGGATGGATCACCCTTTCATAACAAATCTAGCAACTTAAAGGGCCTAAAACTAATTTTTAATTTTAGAGGTAGGTCCTGTAAGGATGGGGGTCGCATAGCGGCAACTGGGGAGAGCCCAACTGCACCGGGGAGGGAAGGAAACAAGCAAGGAAGGCGACCCTAAAAGCTCCTGTCTCCATTAGAGGGGAAAGGAAAGAAAGAGGATCGTCCTGGGCATCCTTGCAGGGACCCTAAATCCGTTGCACGAAAGAAAGAATTAGGACCGTTATGGAGAGCCTAACTGCATAGAAGGAAGGAAAATGGAATCCTGATAAGGGAAGGGGCTTGCACGGTCCATTGAACGAAAAGAAACTGGGGAACCCATCAAAGTTACTCACCAGGAGCTCCAAGCCCTCTGTTTACTCCAACTCCTCCTTCTCCTCTAGCTGAGCCAATCAACAGCAGCAAAAAGGTGCCACGTGACCGATCCTTGCGCCTATCGGCTCCACGAAGCGGTCCTCTGATTTTGACGTCATACAGTGAGGGCAGAAGCCGCCGTGTGCCCGAATTAGCTCACGTGATCAGATTGCTTCAGGGCAGACCGTTGTTGGAATGGCCTGGGAAGGCGGAGCGGGCTGGGTTCCGTGAGGACGTCGTGTTAAGTTAGACGCTGACGTAAGGGGGGGGGGAACCAATTTGGCGTAGTGGTTAAGAGTGGCGGACTCCGATCCTCCCTGAACTGGGAAACCAGCTGGGCAACCCTAGGCAAGCCACAGCACCCCCGCAAGCCGGACCGCCGATTGATCTCCATGGCCTCCCCCAAAGTACATTACAGCACAAAAAAAGCTGCAAAAAAAATGCGGCCTCCAGGCCCAAACAGACCACTCTGGGACTGGAAGGACAGCCCCGAGAGTGGAAGGACAGTCCCCAACAATAGAATCTGCACTCCCTGAATGATGCCCCCGCCCAGGGCTGGCTCGAGGTGTTTCTGCGCCCTAGGCGAGGCCGCCTAGTGGCGCAGATGCCAACCTCCCGGTGGGGCTTGGAGACCTCTGGAGTCAGCCGCAGAAGCAAAGCGACTATGGAGAGCGACGGAGATGGCGGCCAGCCCCGGCCTGCTGGTCCGTACCAGCGTCCACATAAAAGCACCGGCGGCGAGGTGGGGGGGGCGTCAGATGCTTCCTCTGCTCCCCCCGGCCATGGCTGGGGGGGAGGGGGGAGATGCAGCACAAGAGGCAGCACGGAAATGGAACCGGAGGCCGCGGGAGCTCGAGCTGGGCCACCACTGGGCCAGGCGGTGGCGGCAGCAGCAGCAGCTGAGAAAAAAACGATAGTTCGGGGAAGTTTTCCATCGCTCCCTGAGAGTAGAAAAGGAATACCATCTCCTTCAGTCCCGACTCCTTAGAGAAAGGATGCCTGCGGAGGCTCCATCCTGCGCGGAAAGCAAGCCCCCATCCCCCTCCTGCGAGGAGTGAGTCTGAACTGCGCTGGCCGGCCGGCCCAAAAAGGCGCTCCACACGTTTCCGCAGACATTGGACCCAGGTTCGTATATCATGCACTGGCTCTGCCGGCCGGAGATGAATTCTGGCTCGCTGCTTTCGCAGTCAG